ATGAGATACAGACTGGTGACAGACGGACGAACAGACGGGCAGACAGACAAAGAGACAGACAGCGGAGTCTTAGTAATAGCATCTCGTGTTACCCTTTGGAACCCTAAAAAGCTGAACAACGCAAAGACCAAGATTTGCGAACCTGTGTTGCACATCCATATTGTCTGAACACTGCTAACATAATACAATATTTCCGTGTGATAAGTATTTTAAAAAGCGAAAAAAAAAAGTAAAAACATTATTATAATCGCGGAATCTTCCCTGCCCATGCTTTACATAACCAGGCCCCGGTAGATTTAGTCTTGGATACGAAAATGAAACGAGCCTATCTGCGATAAAGATTTTATAACTTTGCACGGTAAGCAAGTATAATGAATTTAAGTCAAGGCTACCACGGCTCGACGATACTTATTCTATTGGAAACTATAGGAATAAACCCGTAAGAGAGTCATATGCTGTTGCTCCAGTACTGGGTCAGAATGCTAGTGTGGCCAGTGGTGACCAAAAAGTCGATCATACGCCAAGGCGAAACTAACGCAACGTGTATATAGATCCGCGATCTAGGGCGGTTCTCACCACTCCCGGCCACAGGTCCGAACCGAAACTCGATGGTCCATAGGTGACGTTTAAAATATCGCAGCACATGGGAGGCCCTATCCAACGTTGAAGGCCGTATCCTACTTGTGGTTGCTTGCCAGTCTACTAATTTCTGCTTTCGATGAAGCTTTAATAATCTACGGACTGAAAACGAAAACATCAGTATAAGTAAAAACTCGATCGTACGAAACTGATAGCATAGCATATTTTAAAATGACCTCTCCACTTTGACTACGCCATGGTTACTATCGATTGTGACGCGCTTTTAAGATTTTCCGTGAAGTTAACCGTTCCCAACGTGAGTTGTGAGAATCTAGTAACTGTGGTAGGGCCACGCAACAGTGTTCACTGTTGCACAAATGGGCAGGTCCGACCGGATATGTACCACGACCTCACAGAAGACTGGCGTAAAGTAGAAGTGTTACACTTCCGCGTTTCGTCTGGTGAGTGAGGTAGCCGGGGCCCATTTTATTTAAAGGTTGCAACGCTTTTGTAGCCCTACGGGTGTTGCAAATATCTATGGGCGGCATTTATCACTTAACATCAGGTGAACCGTCAGCTCGTTTGCACTATATAGTGCATTATTTCGAGAACTTATAAAATATGGGACACTTGCAATTGGGACGCATTAGTCAGACACCATTACGGACGCATTAGTAAAGAGGGCGAGAGATGAGTAAGAACCCTGCTGCTGCAAGCTACTTGGCGCTAACGAGCCACTGTAACAAAGACGTCGGCTGATTACCGCTACACGGAGAGTGTAGAGTGCTTTTCGTGTTTATATGCCGGTAGTGAAATAAAAACCGAACAAGTGCGAGTCGAACTCGCGCGCGAAGTGTTCCCATAACTATGTATGTTATGTTATGTATAAAAACTGAAAAAAAAAACATTTCTTTTGTACAGGAGCCCCACTTAAAAATTTTTTGTTATAGGGGGATAGGAATACATCATCTGTGAAAATTTCAACTGTCTATCACGGTTCATGAGATACAGCCTGCTGACAGACGTACAGACAGACAGGGGAGTCTTAGTTAAAGGGCCCTTGCCTCCATCGACTTCCCGCACATTTGCACGGGTCGTCACTCCATCTAGTGTGGGGTCGTCCTACACTGCGATGGCCAGTTAGAGGCTGGCACTTGAGAACCTTTCTAACCCATTGGTTATCAGTTACAAAAACGTTGGCGGGCGGAAACCCACCATGCAGTGCAAAGAATAGAAATGCATAGAAAATATAATTGACGAAGCCTTGGAATATTTGAAATGAAAATAGACCTGTTTTCGACTATGGTATGTGTAGTCCGTCATCTGTAATAAAGAAGCATGGTGGAATTTTCTTATCCTTATGACCCCCGCATAGAAAATGCCTTCACCCAGCAGTGTGATAAGCCTTGACTTTGCAGAAGCCTTGGTATGTAATCAGAGTTTTATTAAATGAAGTCCACCATCATTCCCATTTAAATTGTTCTTAACCCATAAAGCTACATTAACCACGAGTATTATAGGTATTTGAATTAAAATATATAAGGATATAAAATATATATGAGTATAAAAGGAAAATCAAGGCCAGAAAACTCATTACAGTATTTACGGTTGACTTGCAATGTAACATATATAAAAGAATATATTGACTGTTATTGATTGATGAAATACAATGGCTAAATTTGCGTTTAATTATTCAATCTTGACAGAAATTTAATTGGTTTTCTAATAGAGTAATCTCAATTAAGCAATTTGTTATTGCTGACATGGATTATGACATAGTCTCCATACACAATATATGGGAAAAGGAATCCAAAATTTGGAGTTTGGCAGTGGTTTTCAAACCTACAGTTCGAAATCGTGAATCAAAGTTGGAGCACTATCACTAGACACTCCTACTAAGCTGCACTTCATGACACAATCTTAGAACTGGTAGAAGCGATGAAACTTTTTAATTTAAAAAAAAAAGCTTGTCAAAGTACATACAACAAATTTGATGACTTCGTGACGCAGTGGCCAAGGTATTGACTTCAGCATTGGGGTTGTGGGTTTGATTCCCACACAGGACAACATTTGTACGACCCACAGATAGTTGTTTCGCATCTGGGTGTTTGTCCGTGTGAAATTTATGTTTGTACAAGGTCCTTACAACACAGGATAATGTTATCGTAAAGTAATACTTTACTTTACTTTACTTAAAATTAATTTATTTCTGTATGCAATGAATGTATGTTATAATGTTAATGACAATAATTTTTTTACAACAAGAGTTATGCAATACAATGCACAAATGAAAACGATGTGCAGAATAAGTAGAACTGCATAGTTTTCCTTACATAAAATTGTTTGACTTGTATATCATAATCCTAGATCATAACATCAGTAGAATTAGCCTTATTAGGATTATATCTTATCGGAAACATAGTGGTTACATAGGAAGTAGTTTTTACTAAGAAGGTAATAGTTAATACATATAATTTATTTGACTCTTTAAGCCTACAAGATTCAGTTAAGATTGTTTATCATCAATATAATTTTATACTCTTGATTACATAAAGAATAATATTCTCTATAAAATTAATAAAGGGATAAACCATGACGTTTTTAAAAATTCTATTTTCTTATTTACTTAGAAAAGGGTTGCCATGGGTGTCATTTTTTTGTCATGGTCTAATTAGTAATTCACAAATGCAGGTAATGCATGATGAAACTGCATTTTGTAAGAGAATTTAAATTGTTTCGTAGACATTTTTTAAATTACTTCTAGTCTGGGAACTAGGTTTTTGCTTAATTTGATTTATTACATGTATTAATTATGAACTATAATTTCTATACTGAATTATTAATGGTATGAAAAATGAAAAACAAATTAAAATGAATAATGAATAAACTGTAAAGAATAAAACTTAATAATTTTTTTTGAGGAAAATATTTATATTCAAAACTATCAAATTACATAAAAAGTAAAAAAAATTGACCAGTTGAAAATGATTACGTTAGTATCATTTTTAAGTTGCACCGAAATATAGTTAGCTTTGGAAAATATTAATAACTTATCAGAAAATCGATTGACACATTTCGGTATGTTTCTTTTACCTCAGCACAATTGACAATTGAGTTGACATTGGCCTTGCCAGTCCTTCCCACAGAGGTAAGGCAAGTTAGGGTACAAACACAATCAATACAAGGTGTAAAATAACATTGCAGGCAAAATCAAAGCGTAGGTACTCACGTTTTAGATATGACAGGAAAAGAAAACTGAAAAACACACAGGCACACTCACTAAATAGGCTACGAGTTAGGAACTTTTAAAGAAAGGTAGGAAAGGTAAAATATGTTTAAAAAAAGTCGGCATCCGAACTAATAATTAGCGGCCACCCATTTTATTTCTCTGTCTGTCACTTTCACTCTTAGTAGCTGTCAAAACATTTCATTGCCATTTTATTACACTGACATAACCATTTCGGAAGGGAAATATTAACGTGATTTAATTGGAATCATTCTATGTTGCACACAAATGTTTTTCAGTAGATTAATATTAATATGTTACAAAATTAACAGAAAAGCAGAAAATATAAATACGTACAGTTTGAATGCCATCTATGTTTATATCGCCAGACCACTTTAGTAGTCCGATTAAAGTAAATAGCGTTAGATGGCGCAATAACTATATATACTTGTTAAATTTTTTAAGTTCTGTATTGAGTTTTAGTCAATTTTATAATGATTTAGTTAATATCTAGTTCCCACGGATTTGGCCGCATGGTTCTTTTAAAATTAAAATAAGAGAATTTCTACGAAATGAAAATAAAATCTAAATATTGGTTTGGTTTTCGGTGCACATATTCCAATTCCAAATTGTAATATTCGCGTTAAGACAAGCCATACAGGCGTAAAAGCTTAACACGAAAACGGTAAATCTGTTATTTTTGTATAATGCAAATAAGGTTTTATTAAATGAAATAAAAGCGTAAAATATGTTTGAACGTATTCGTATTATCTTATTATGACTTTTTTTGAATGACAATGACCCAAGCAACCTGTACCATACAACAATGCTAGGCAATCTGAACCTCTACAGTTCTATCATGTGACAGGTGAATTAATACATTATGATGACTCCGTGGCGCATTAGCCAAGGTATTGGCTTCGGCGTCGGGGGCCGTGGGTTCGATTCTCACATGGGACAGCTATTTGTGCGATCCACAGATGCTGTTTCGCATCTGGGTGTTTGTCCACGTGAAATTTATATTTGTAATACGTCCTTACAAGAGGGAATAATGTTATGCTAAAGAAAGGGCAACGTTTTTTTTTAAAAAAAGAATAATAAAAAGAATAAATTGAGCACACTGTACGCAAACGAAAAATCAAACAAGCTCCCATTTCATTCTAATTATATAATAACGCAAAATCTCTGCAAGTCACACGGTGGGTATTTCGAGGGTGAAGTTGGTGAAATCGGGTATTATGTAGAGTTTGGCGCCTTTGAAACGTCGGTCGGCGCATATCGCGTCGTACTGGTCGTACGCCAGCTTGGCGCCTATGAAGGACACCGCGAAAATGGTGACCAGCAGTAAGGCGCACACGATCGGGCAGAGGACGGCGCTGAGTTTGCTGATGCGCTGAACCCTGACGGAGTTCGCTTCGGAGTCGGTGTTGCTGTGGCGATCGGAAGCTCTTGTCATGGCTGAAAATGTACCGAGACGCTGCCGTTAGTTAGTTAGTTAGTGTTAGAAGCTTTGTCAAGGGCTGGGGAACGAACCAGCGTTTCACTCGATGGGACCTATAGGCTTGTAGATGCGGCAAACTTACTCACGGGCGGAACACAAAAGTAAATACGTCTTCTACTTTACGCCTGTACTGTGTGAGGTCGTTATGCAACTATGCCGAGACATTTAGCTGTACAGTAGCTTTTCAAATTTTTTCAATTTAAATGTTGTTTGAACATGAATATGGTATTAGTTGGTATTGTTAGTTTTCGACACGTTTTTGAGGTAAACATTCTTATGGTCTAATAACGTGACTCCGTGTAAAATTTATTCGTAAGGTGTGACTTTTTTCAAAAACTAAGTGTCAAGGATGGGTCTGAGAATCAAAAACAAATGCTGACACTCTAGTTTTGTCAGCCGTTGTTCGTAATTAGTTCACATGTATTATTATTGTGTGAAAAGCAAATCTGATTGGACAAATCTATCGTTTTCCACTAGAGGATATAGATGTACGATTATAAGTTTGCACTTTTCACACATATTTAAATGATTAATATATTTAGTTTTAAAGAAACAATTTTACTTACTTATTTTTATTTGTCTTTGAGACTTATCTTCATCATTTTAAACGTCACTCTTTACTTGATGTATATGTCATGTATAATAAAAGAGGTTTAACGCTAAACAAAAACAGACATACAGATAAGACATCCAAGCGATATCGGCCTAATTTATTCCGATGGTTCTCTACTAACGTTTTAATCCCTGTAATAACTCTCGTAATATTCGACGCGTCTTGATCTCTGAGACTGATCGCTTCTCGCGCAAATGCAGAGAAGGCGGTGCTCTTCTATACCACATAGTTATAAATATATTACATATACAGCGTGTCGTTACCATCGCGACAATAAATGAACACACATATAGGGGATTACTTTATAAAGTTGTATTAAACATTTAAAAAAAAAAATCAAAAATCATTTATTCATCGACATAAGAAACTTACATTTCATTTATCAATAGTCAATTTTTTTTTTTAAATCTACCACCGTTTCGTAATGAGGTTCCTCTAGCGGAGAAGAAACAGGCGAAAGAAACTCCGTAGGTATCCTCTTTTTTGTAATTATTTTTTTTTTTCTTAACAAAAAATTCAAAAATTATAGAACTGATTTTTTTTTCCTTTTAGAAATAGCTTGGGAGCGATCAACTCATTCCCAGGGGTTATTGTCATTAATGTATTCATTTGTATTATAATAACCCTTTTTATAAAGTTTTTCTTTAATAAATTTCTGAAACCTGTTAATAGGCAGGTTTTGCGCATTTACTGGGATTTTGTTGTAAAAGCGTATACACCGCCCCATGAACGAGTTACTCTATGGAGTCTAGTAACTGGCATTACAAGCTTGTGTTTGTTCCTAGTGTTCACATTATGTATATCAGTATTCTTATCAAAATTATTAATATTTCTACGCACATACATAACATTTTCATATATATATTGAGAGGCTAAGGTTAATATATTTATTTCTTTAAACTTCTCTCTCAAAGATGCATTCAGATCTAGATTATAAATAGCTGTTATGGCCCTTTTTTGCAAAATAAAAATTGTTTCTATATCGGCCGCGTGCGCCCATAGCAAAATACCATATGACATTATGCTATGGAAGTAACTAAAATACACAATTCTAGCCGTTTTTACATCAGTTAGACATCTTATTTTCCTTATAGCATACGCTGCAGAACTTAGTCTATTCGCAAGTTTGGATATATGGGGACCCTTGAAGCTTTGCATCGAGAGTTATTCCAAGAAAGACAGTCGTATCCACAAAGCCTAACTCCCCCCCATTTATAAGTACATTGGTAGCACCCAAATGTTTAACATTAGGTGTTGAAAATTTCATACATTTAGTTTTATTACCATTTAATAGTAAATTGTTAGTATTAAACCAATAGACTATTTCTGACATAGCATTATTTACCTCGTCAAGTGTAACAAGCTGTCGATTGATTTTAAAAATTAATGATGTATCATCGGCAAATAAAACTATATCTTGTTTACTCCCTACAAAGTAAGGAAGATCATTAATGTAAATGAGAAAGAGAAATGGGCCGAGAATCGAGCCCTGCGGAACGCCCATAGATACCGTCGACGCAGAAGAACTAGCACCATTAATTACAACTTTTTGAATTCTATTAGATAGATATGACTTAATGAGGTCAAGCGCGGTACTTTTAATGCCATAATGGCGCAATTTCCTGATCAGTGTTTCATGATTCACGCAATCGAAAGCCTTGGAAAGATCACAAAAGACACCCAGAGCATCCTGTGAACTCTCCCAAGCCTCAAATATATGTTTGATCAGCTCTACACCAGCATCGGTTGTAGAACGACCCCTTGTAAAACCAAACTGGTTGTGATGTAATAATTTATTTAAGTTAAAATGTGTTAACAGCTGATCTAGAAGATGTTTTTCGAAAATTTTACTAAGTGTTGGTAGTATAGAAATGGGTCTAAAATTAGTGGGGTCCGAAGTACTACCGGATTAAAATACAGGTATGACTTTACTGTGTTTCATGAGATCAGGGAATACGCCAGAATCTACACTACTGTTAAAAATTATTGACAAATAAGGTGCGATTGAATCTATTATTGAGGCAGTCACTTCAACGGACATTCCCCATAGATCTGCCGTTTTCTTAAGTTCAATGGTCTTAAACATTTTTATATCTTTTGCATATACAGCCTGAAATTTAAAGATTGTGGTGCAAGCACTTACATTTTCCTTAAGTAATGTCTCGGCAACAGCAGGAGAAGAATTCAGCGACAATGTAGTTAAAGTAGGAATCTCACTAAAGAATTTTTCAAATACTTCAGCTACCTCCTGATTAGTCGTTATAAATTTATCATCAATGTTGAGCTGGTAGTCAGACCTACGTGATTTGGTTTTTCCTGTTTCACTATTTATAATGTTCCAAGTCATTTTTACAAAGAGAATGTTTTAGAAGTAAAAACGGCATTGTATTCGATTTGTATGAAATTAAATAATGAACTATACAAGGCGTTAGCATTGTCATAGTAGGGCAGCATAGGTAGTTTTTTTATTAAATTACTTCTAAACTTCTCCTTGCGATATTTATTTATCGGAACAAACACAGCTTTCCTAGTATCTTGGATTTTACAGTGCAGAGGCAATGTGACAAACTGCCCTGAATGGTCAGAACTTAATTTATGTATTATTAGTCTGTGCAATGGTTTGACATCTGTAAAAATGTTATCTATACATGTTGCACTTGACTCTGTTATTCTTGTAGGCTCAAAAAACAAGTTGAAGAGATTAAATGATTATAACAATGAGCAGAATCTTATCCTCATGGAAGAAGCTTCTAGGAGATTAATATTAAAGTCTCCGCATATGACGACAGATTTATTCTGTTTATGAAGTTTATGTAAAACTTCCTCCATGATTTTTTCAGAACGTTCATACAAGGCACAGGGTGGTCTGTAAACACTAACAACAATGAGATGCTCAAGCTCAACACAAGCCATTTCTCTCAAGCTCACACAAGCTCTTTAAATTCTTTAAACATCAATATTTACTGAGTTATTAAATTTTCCAAAACAAAGAATTTTAGAACATCCTTACCTCTAAAAGCGTAACGTAAAGTTCATTTGTAAAGGTCACAAAGCATATGGATGGGTTGAATGAATTTAAAAGAGACAAAACATACTGTTAGAAGGAGAGGCTTGTAATGCGACGCTGTGGCGCGAGTTGTATAGGATGTTACAAATTTTGTTTCTTTTTTACTTAATTAGTTTGTTTGAAAAAAAATTTTTTTTAATTATGGATTTTGCTTAACGTTAATATTTTTTTATGATTATTGGCAAGTAGCGTTAGACGTGTGTTAATTTATTGTCGCGATGGTAACGACACGCTGTATACATATATCAATACTATTCAAATTTGTTTTTTCCAGGAAAACGAGAATTATTTTAATAATTATCCGTGACAATTATTGTTAGCGAAATGTTATGATTTCTATTCTGTGTTATGAGGTGACATGTCGAATTAAAAATACGAAATGATCGAAATGACAGAAACACGTAGAAGTCAAGGATAGGAAACAGCATCCGCCAAAACAGAAAAGAAGAAGAAGAAGGAAACAGCATATAGCAGCTTAAATAATGAAATTACGATACATTTTCCTGTTTTCTACGTTAGTTTTAATACTTTTCTTGACATTCGTGTATTTGATGACGAGAATCGATCCGGGGTTACTGAAGCTGCACCGTACTAATGGAAAAATGGCGGGAATTTATGAAGAAAATGAAACTATATTAGTAAGTAAAGTAATACATTTTGCCAGCAATAGAAGAATTTCATAGCTGGAAAAGCGAGTTCAATAAAGACGAATGTGTTGATATTTTAGACTGAAATAAAACGTTATCTTTACAATATGACAAAGTATGTTGTTGGAATTCGTTTTGCGGTAACACAGATGAAACGAGAGAGAGAACGTAAATGTAGAGGTTACAACAAAATATATGTCTCAACTCCGGTCAGGTGACGACGACGAACTTAAAGACAACAATAATAACAGTATACCAAGGTTGAATATATAAATATGGCTGCGTTCTCAATATCGTAATATAATGGATAAAAAGTAAAACCACGCAGAAGACCGTGGCTTAAAGAACTATTCATAATTTTCGCACCTCGTTCGGTTATGGTTCCTTATCCAGACCTTACCGTTTTAAAGATTGGCGACCGTAATGAAATGTTGATATATATTTCTAATGATATGGACGACATTTATAGATATATAGGCATCACAATAATTGCGGCACTCAACTCGCATCTTTTGTTTCACAGCCGTTAGAAGACTATTTTCAAGCCATTCGTTTTCAGGCTGAACCAGCCGAAGTTATAATGTACGATTATTTAATGAAAAATAACAGTAAATCAAATAAATTTTACATTGAATTTTATTTTAATCATAGAGGAAAAAAAATATCAAACTAAAAATGTTTAATACTGTAAGTTGCTTGAGGTTTATTTTGAAATAAAATAAACTTCTGTCGTAGATTGGGTGCATGTAGAGAAGAAGAAATTCTCACATCTCAATCCCAGAGAGTTAGAATTCGCTAGTGGTATTAGTTTCCTTCGAGATTAAGGCCGTAATAGCAGAAAATCCTGCAAATTTATTTCATTGGTGGTACGTAAAGCACCAGTCTATATATATTTATATCCCACTTTTATTGTGAGATGATCATGATGTTTTCCTGACTTGATAAGTCAGCACTTAAAATGGAATTAACAATTTCATTGTTATCTGCGTCGGGAGTTGAACTCAGACTGCTCGAGTATATTGAATTTAAAGAGAGCTCAGGTACTGATGCTATCACGTCAAGTATCGTGATTGTCCCAAAATTAAATCTCATAAGTGTGGCCCAATAACAACACGGGAACTCGCTCTCACTGTCCTTTTGTTAAAAATATTAATGTTCACTACTTACTGTAGTCCCGGCCCTGTCTCCTCAGCCCTGTAGACCCGGCCTCATAGAATAAGGTATCCCCTGTCTGTCGTAAAAGGCGACTAAAAGGGGACACGGATGTGCAGCAGCATGAAGTGGTCTCGTGCTGCTGCAAGAGGGAGCGGGAACCGGAGAAGGTTTATCCTTCTCCGAGGCGTGCTCAGGCCTTGTACCGAGGGACACCGGTGCGCGGGGTAAGAACCCCACATAGCCCTGTCATGTAAGTTGACAGGGTATCTTTAGAAGATTTCCCCCCGATATAAAAATAGGACCACGCAACAGCTTCTGCTGTTTCACGAATGGGCAGGCGCGGCCGAAAAAGTACCCCTCCTCAAAGAAGACCGGCGTAAAGTAATAGTATTAAAATTTCGCGTTTCGTCTGGTGAGTGAAGTAACCAGGGCTTCCATTTTAAAGGTTGTCAACGCATCTGCAAGGCATCGAGTATCGTAGATGTCCATGGGTGGTGGTATTCACTTAACATCAGGTGAACCGCCTGCTCGCTTGACAACTTTTCACATAAAAAAGGAAAACATGGAGTCATAGAAGAGCAGAATAAAGATGTATACACCTTGGGCTTTGATACGTGAGTGAGGTAAATGGGCTCTTAAAGGTTGCAAACAAACCGAAGGATATTGCGAACCTCCGTGGGAAGACGATAATCACTCACATTATTCGAACTGAAAAACTTAACCGTACAAAGGGCAGTGGCATCTTTTATGATTTTGTATCGCAGTTATCACCAGTACCAAGACTCTGCCAAGCATTTTGCAGAGTCAATTATTGTGTAGCGGTATTGCTTGGTTGGTATTGCGGATCGACACAACTAATGAACTTCAAAGAGAAGTTACCTAAGAGATTGAAACGCTGTTGGGACTCTTCCAATCCTATGAATGTGTTTGGATTACATATCGTCAAGTCGGAAAATTACTGGTTTGTTCTCTCATAAATAAAACAAAAATGTCAGTTACGTAATGATAAAATATTGTGACAGTGAAATTCTTCGTGGACGACGTTTTCAGTAGGTATATATGTCTTTTTGTTATCTATGTTAGACGAATTAAATATGGTGGCACTTGAAACAAACGCCAAAAATGTTAAAATTCTAGAAAGAGAAAAACATATATTGTATAAAAAATATGGTATATATTAATTTTTGATGAAATGTCAAAGAAAACTGTATACGTGCTTCTGTGTTCCGTATTAATTGTGGTTTTGTTCTGCGTGTTTTGCTATCTACTCAACATTGTGAACCCCGAAGTGTATCTTACGAACACTACTGATCCCAGAAGGTTGGACCTTTCGCCAACAGAGGTGAGCGAGTATTCCCTTTGCTGCTGCATATTCCGCCTTTCAAACGATAACTTATGGCTTCACATCATAAGAAGGTAAAAGGCGGACTCTCTTAGCGAAAATAACAAGTTTTAAATACATTTTTTTTTCTCGAAGACTATAAGCGACTGGAGGATTCTGCTTGCTGATTAACCAATTTTATTTGTGGTTTTTCTCTACCGTATATTTTTTTTAATTGCAATATGCGCTCGTCAATGTGCTGAACATTTGCCAAAAATAATTTTGAATGATTTATTTTTTTATGGGGAAAAGTTGGCCGAGCAGGTTGTTCTCAGACATCTATAACATAGGCATTCAGATGTGTTGTCAACCATTAAAAACAGTAGGCCTCGTTTACCTCACCCAGCAGACGAAACGTGCTTCCAGCCCGTCCATTTGTGTAACAGTTGAAGCTGCAGTGTACCTAGGGCCTACCATAGTCCTTTGTAGAAGTCCGCCAATCCCCACGCGTATACAATCGTATCATGGGATTCGATTCCCAAATACCAGCATCTGCACCCTACCATTAGGGCAGTGTAGATTACTCTTGTCTTGCGGGTTTCGTGGCGATTATGGTCTAGTACAATCTATCGTTTAGCTGACAGTGTTTTATATAACATACTCATTGTGTAGACTGACTTTGAGTCTTTATATTTTTTAGGATATATATTTTAATCAGGAGCTTAGCGCTAAGGACGACGTCCATTACGGTCTGGAGAAAGCCCCGGAGACATACAAGCCGAAAGCGCCTTACGAATCGGAGATCAAATGGGATGACTATCGGAGGAAGTCATACCCCGTGCAAATACCGATAGTGACGCCGACGGACAAGCAAACGCCCGTAACTGTCATAGTTTACCCTTCGAAAGACCACAGGAGGTCCGTAGAGACAAACAACGTGCCGAAATACAAGGATCGAAGCTCCAAAAACGTGCTTTTGAAAATCGTCGATGACAACGGGCAAGCCAGAATGGAGGTAATCGTCGATTCGGGCCAGATACATTACAAGAACCAGTTGAATAAACCCAAAGAAAATAACGGCGAATTGGAAGTTTACGAGATCAAATCTAATAATACGCTGCTTTATAACATACAGGAACAATCCTTGAAAATTGTCGACGATGGTCTGCCTAAGGTTGTAAATGTAAATATATAACAAATGTTATACAAAATATCTTTCTATTAGACAAACACAAACAAGTCACTGGTAAACCACGAGTTAAAAAATCGTTTAGTCTGATATGTGCAATAGTTCGATTTGATGTTTAATTTTATTTTCAGAAAAATGGATATAGGTTATTACATTCAAGCAAAGAGTTATTAAGTTGTTAAACAGTTCAGAAAAAAAAAATAAGGAAAAAATAAATTATCTAATTTTTGTATAAGTAAACTGCGCATAATATCTAATTGGTTACTCCAGATTCCAGATGACGTCTTTGGTATATTTGTTTTATTATAGTTCAGGTGCTTGCTTTTAATCCGACTAATAGGAGCAAAATCTTTTCACTCAGAAACTGAGAATATCACTATTTTATTCATCATTTACTACCTATATATTAATACATGAAGCAATTTGTACTCCTTTTTATCAAAATTGCGTGGACGGAAGAGTATGAAATTTCCCACACTTAGTTTATATAGAGGAGTGCAGAATGCTAATATATTTTTTAAAATTCTGTATAAAAAATACATTAAATCAATATAAAAACTACCATGTATTTGACACACACACGCATATATACTCTTTTGTTTATTGTGTATTGTATTTGAGAATAGATTAATATTGTTCAAACTTATTATTTTAATTAATTACGGTCGAATTTCGACCACTCGGCGTCCACTAGTTAATCACTAATATACCAATGGGCCATTAGCTTGAACTTAAGAACGATATCTGTTTTGCCGCTGTAGGTTTACATTATAAAATTTTTATTGGGATTTTTTTTAATCCTCGCGTTTATTTTAAACTTCAATTGCCATCACTTCAAGTCCTTTGCAACGTTCATGGTTGCGGGACAGACGGTGACTGGGGTGATAGTGACATCTATCATCACTTCTTGACAACTTTAAGTTAAAGAGGCTTTAAGCTTGATGGGTTTTATTCGCTTCACGATTTCTTAAAATTGCTATTAACTAGTAATAGATGTCGCTTTAAATTAAATCGAGGGTCTTGAAAGTGAAATAAATTATTATAATCATTTTTTTTTGCTGACAGTCCCAACATATAACTTAGGCATAGGACAAACGTTTTTTCAGTCAACAGAAGTAAATATTTCATATAAAATTATGTATTGTAACACAAATGTATTCCATGAAACCACGAATTGAATGTGTAGATTTTAATTAATCTTAAATCATTATTATATCGTTACTAATATTATAAAGGCGAAAGTTTTATGTATGGATGGATGTTTGTTACTCTTTCACGCAAATAGTACTGAGTAGATTTTAATGAAACTACACTAATATACATCAGAATAAGACATAGGCTATAATTTATATACATATTTTATGTATATCTGTCTTTCTGTCTTAATGTTACATCATTTAGACGACCCGAATGGCGTAGTGGGTAGTGTACTTGCCTCCTGCGCCAGAGGGTGTGGGTTCGATCCCCACTACTGGAAAAATATTGTGTGATGAACAATACTGTTTTTCTAGTGTCTGGGTGTTTATATATGATTTATAGGTATTTATTTACAACAGAAAAGTACGTTTAAGTATGTTTATCAGTTTTCTAGTACTTACCCATAGTACAAGCGTTGCTTAGCTTGGGACTAGAAAATGTTTTGTAAAAAATATGTCCTTAAATATTTATTTGTTTTATTTTTTCAGCCTATTCTACGCGGACGTAGTCGCGGGCAGCAGCTAGTAAGGAATAAATTCAATCGGAATATGTCCAAAGTTTTATTCTAATACATATAAAGCGATAAGCATTGCTATGCGAATAACCTGCAACATAATCGCGTTCAATAACGGAGTTAAAGCGGATATTAATAGCCGACAATCATTAGACTTTGATCTTTGCATCGAAATACGCAGCGTTCGTATGAGATCACTTTGTCTTAAGAGCGAGGACCTTCGGTAACACGCTCGGGGCTGGCAACACGTGTACGAAACGTTTGACCACGCCTCGGCAATCGGCGGTCGTGCAATTAACGCGCATTTACGACCGGCGCGAATTAATATGTATACATAAAAAGTGCAACTGACTGACTGACAATTTTTGACTATCAATGCGCGAACCTACCACCTTGAGTGCCTGTTCTACATAGTGAGGCTGGAGACTGATATTGTGTTTTTTTACTCTAAAGGGATACCAATTTTGTTATTGTATCCGGTCAACTCATTTTCCAAAGTGCAAAACTATAAATATAAACACTTCACGACTTGGGCGCGGTGCACTACTTGACGTGCCGGCCCATTCGTTGAACATTCTGTGTCTCAACTGCCTAATACAATAGGTCATTAAAGTTTTCAATCTCTCTATTTACGTGGAATACGGTACCTACCCCTACTACGTTACTGCGTTAGTTTACAAAGACATTTAAAGAAATACGTTTCGATATGAAACAATAGAAACATTTATATGGTAGCGTTATTTTCTCTACTAAGGAAGCAAAAGGTAAGGGGGGAGGAACCTATCTTATACTTAACACTTATTTCGAGAGTAACGCAGGTAAAGTCGCGCGCCAAAGCGGACTTGGGATTAATAAAACAAAGGCCGCTGAGCTATCCACTCGGGCTGTTTGGTAACATTTGACCAGTCGCATCTGAAGAAGTCATTGCCGCGAATGGATGCTCGCGTAGCTCTCCACTTCTTTTCGATGATGTAATGAATTAATCAAGTGTTATTCGTATAGACGCGTTTCGAAACGCTTAAAATATGAACGAAAATATCTTACGTCTGAGACTTCAACATACGTTCGTGACACACCCATCCCAAACACTCAAAATATTAGAGTAGTTAGACGATGGTAATGGGGGTTCCATTCACCTCGTATACATTTAACAGTTGATTTTACGTTAGAACGGATCCGAAAAGCCAAAACTATGAAAGCAATCGGAGTTCGAAGTCACGACCTCGGAACGACAATCTAGTTTTAAAAGCACTAGGTCAACAACTCTGACGAAAATTATTTAACACTTATTTCTTTCTGCACTGAGATATACGCAAGCCTTTTATATTGTCTTTCGAAACTAATGTACGTTTTTTATTGATCTTTATAACTGCGATGGAACCGCCTCCATTATACAACCTTTTCTTTGATTGGGTTTAAATATTTTTTCTTTAGGTCAGAGAGTTTCAGAGGTTTATTGGTATTTCAGGTTATTCATTAAAATATGCCATGTCTTTTGGAGATAAGTTTTGGCAGTCGTCATCAACGCATTGGCAACGGCTTCGAAATCTTTTCTAGCATCCGCTGTCTCTTTGCATTCGTAAGCAAATTTGAAGCAAGGTCTCTCGGCACAACTATATAAGATACTACGATAGGCTACAACTATCTTTATATTTTGCTGACATATCGAAAGGTGTGGTCAAAAGTTGGTAGCATTAGCTATTTGTGTCAATCGCTTTTAGTTCAAAATATGTATGTGAGTTGTTGTTGTTGTAAATACAAGTATTCTTCAGCTTCAAAGTTTAATGGTTGCGTAAATGTTAGGTACCAGATTCATTTTAACACCGAATTATATTGGCGGGTTGGTCGAGATAAAAAAAGTTTTCGTAAAAATAAAAGAAACCAAGCTAAGTAGTATACTATTATGTTTTTATCTGTTAAATGTTCGTTTCGTTGTTATACGAAAATGTTTTTATGGACATAGACGAGAAAGAATCCGTAAAAATAGTTTAATTTGATAAATGAAACTAATTTTACGGATTTATCGCGTTTATTTTTAATTTTAATTCCCGAAGTTCATCCCAGTCCCCAGCGTTCATGGTCACGGGACAGTCTGTCCTGTGACCATGAACGCTGTAAAGGGTTCGAAACGTCGGGAATTAAAATTAAAAATAAACGCGATAAATCCGTAAAATTAGTTTCATTTATAATGTGTAATCGCGTAAATACAAGAAATTATTAAATAGTTTAATTTGATAAAATAAGCAGTAGTGTTTAATTGGAGTAAAAAAAAAATCGCGTGTTTACCCTTGGCGTCCGCTGTTCCCTTATTCTTAATTGCTTTGAACGCGTAATATCCGCTTAAGCCAGCAAACGCGTGGCATGAGAGAGGCGTATGTTTTTTTTTTTCTATCCTCACCCAATAAGTGTATCGGCTACGTGCGCTTAGACGAATGTCGATCCGGTTACGTAAAACCAGATCAAATCTGAATCGAAACAAGATCCGTTTGCACTTGCAGTTTCGTGCTAAAAATACCAGAAAGGGTAGGCTTTTTATGAGACACTGGCTGCGCCCGCGACATGGTCCGCGTGGATATTAAAATAAATAAAATTTCAAAGTAGCCTAAGTGACTCCATATTACATTAGCTATGGGCCAGTGAAAATCGGTCCAGCCGTTTCAGAAATTAGCCGGAGCAAACAGACAGAGACGGACAAAAATTGTAAGACAATGTTATTTTGGCATATACGTCCAGTACACACGGCATATATAAGATCATTCTGATCAATTCAGAGAGTTTAACAAACCTTTTGACAACTCAAATAATATTTGGAAAGCAATTTGGCAGCTGATTAGTTAACTACTACTACGGTGATCAGTGTTTCAGAAACCGGGCGTAAGAGTCTTAACTTGATAAAACCCAAAAGTACAAATGCTTCTACTCTTAAAGGTCTTCTGTGACATGGAACTAGCCCGTTGAAGATGTTGTGTGGCGATTAACAAAACACTAGGTGTTTCGTCTCAAAACACCCGAAGAGAGGAGGCCTTAAAAGGCCGCAGTCGCGCTAAGGTTCGCGCATGAGTAGCAATTGCTACGGACCTCGCGCCGAAGGGGCCCGCCGCATATTTGAATTTGAACCTTAATTTTCACTCAAGGAACTTATTAAATACTAGCGAACCGCCTCGGCTTCACACGGGTGCAATGTATTATCTAATATATAAAATTCTCGTGTCACGGTGTTTGTAATTGAACTCCTCCGAAACGGCTCGACCGATTTTCGTGAAATTTTGTATGCATATCGGCCAGGGTGGAG